CCATGTGTAAACTCTGGTCCATGATCAACTACATGTACGTCTGGTCTTACCGTGTGTAAACTCTGGTCCATGATCATTTCCTACATGTACGTCTGGTCTTACCATGTGTAAACTCTGGTCCATGATCATCTCCTACATGTACGTCTGGTCTTACCATGTGTAAACTCTGGTCCATGATCAACTACATGTACGTCTGGTCTTACCGTGTGTAAACTCTGGTCCATGATCATTTCCTACATGTACGTCTGGTCTTACCATGTGTAAACTCTGGTCCATGATCATTTCCTACATGTACGTCTGGTCTTACCATGTGTAAACTCTGGTCCATGATCATTTCCTACATGTACGTCTGGTCTTACCATGTGTAAACTCTGGTCCATGATCATCTCCTACATGTACGTCTGGTCTTACCATGTGTAAACTCTGGTCCATGGTCATTTCCTACATGTACGTCTGGTCTTACCATGTGTAAACTCTGGTCCATGATCATTTCCTACATGTGCGTCTGGTCTTACCATGTGTAAACTCTGGTCCATGGTAATTTCCTACATGTACGTCTGGTCTTACCATGTGTAAACTCTGGTCCATGATCATCTCCTACATGTACGTCTGGTCTTACCATGTGTAAACTCTGGTCCATGGTCATCTCCTACATGTACGTCTGGTCTTACCATGTGTAAACTCTGGTCCATGGTCATTTCCTACATGTACGTCTGGGTCTGATCCTAGTGGCTGCAGTTTCCTTGGTTGAATCCTCTCCGACCAATCAGAGAGCGGGGGAGGCGGGTGTTGTAGGTCGGTGTTTGTGCTGAATTTTCTGGTTGTAGTTTGTCGGAGAATGCGATAGTAAAATAATCTGTTCTGGTTCAATCCAAATATCAAGAAACTGAAGCCGGAGCAAGAGGAATGTTTAGTAAATGTCATTGAAGCAAAAAAAAAGTTGTGGCGCTACTCCCCACGGGCTCCGATTATGGGAAAGGAAAGGCTAAAGCTAGGCTAAATGCTAAAGCTAGGCTAAATGCTAAATGCCCACTCGAGCTCAGTACACATCTCACAGCGAACTCGGATCCAATCTTTTCAATCTGCAAAAGGCGTTAACAGGTGGGAGGGGTTAACGCAGCTGAATGGACCTTAGTACAAAATGAAACGAGTACAATGGTACGGTAAGACCATGATTCACCAGCAACAGATCAGAAAAGCAAACACAGGAAATGCAATAATAACAAACGCATGTGAAGACAATGGAATGGAGCTTAAATATAAGTCATCTCTTTTTCACACTTTGTACATTTCTAGGATCAAATGAAAACAGTTGGAGGAAAAAATAGAGAAACCGCGAGGTCGATATTGAGAGAGGGATTTGTTCCCACAGACAGCATAGACCCAGGACTGAGGCTGTAGACCCAGGACTGAGGCTGTAGACCCAGGACTGAGGCTGTAGATCCAGGACTGAGGCTGTAGATCCAGGACTGAGGCTGTAGACCCAGGACTGAGGCTGTAGACCCAGGACTGAGGCTGTAGATCCAGGACTGAGGCTGTAGACCCAGGACTGAGGCTGTAGACCCAGGACTGAGGCTGTAGACCCAGGACTGAGGCTGTAGACCCAGGACTGAGGCTGTAGACCCAGGACTGAGGCTGTAGACCCAGGACTGAGGCTGTAGACCCAGGACTGAGGCTGTAGATCCAGGACTGAGGCTGTAGACCCAGGACTGAGGTTGTAGACCCAGGACTGAGGCTGTAGACCCAGGACTGAGGCTGTAGACCCAGGACTGAGGTTGTAGACCCAGGACTGAGGCTGTAGACCCAGGACTGAGGTTGTAGACCCAGGACTGAGGCTGTAGACCCAGGACTGAGGCTGTAGATCCAGGACTGAGGCTGTAGACCCAGGACTGAGGCTGTAGACCCAGGACTGAGGCTGTAGATCCAGGACTGAGGCTGTAGACGTAGACCCAGGACTGAGGCTGTAGACCCAGGACTGAGGCTGTAGACCCAGGACTGAGGCTGTAGATCCAGGACTGAGGCTGTAGACCCAGGACTGAGGCTGTAGACCCAGGACTGAGGCCATAGACCCAGGACTGAGGCTGTAGACCCAGGACTGAGGCTGTAGATCCAGGACTGAGGCTGTAGACCCAGGACTGAGGCTGCAGTAGTAGACCCAGGACTGAGGCTGTAGAGCCAGGACTGAGGCTGTAGAAGTAGACCCAGGACCAAGGCTGTAGACCCAGGACTGAGGCTGTAGATTCTGCTTAACTTTTATCGCTGCACCACTGAGAGTTTACTTGTTGGTTCTGTGTCTGTGTGGTTTGGAAACATCACAGATAAAGAAAAGAGAGCTTTAAACAAGGTGCTCCGCTCTGCAAAGAGGACCGTGGGCTGTGAGCTTCCTGTTCTGGAGGTTCTTTATAAATCCAGACTTTTAAACAGAGCTCTTAAAATCATCAATGACTCTTCTGGCCACCCTGGGAAAGCCATGTTCCAGCTTCTTCCCTCTGGCAGAAGATATCGGTCACTGAGATGCAAGACATCTCGCCACGCTAACAGCTTCTTTCCACAAGCTGTTAGGTGCCTAAACAGAGCACTTTAATTCCTGCTTTTACCCCTTGTATCGTTTTGTTGATCGGTGCCACAGTGTCAGCTGTTTTTTTTATTATTTTATATTCAGTGTATGTGTATTTTATATTACATTGTATCGTGCTTTTATTCTGTCGGTGCACACAGAGTACCTTTCTCTGCAAATGTATTCCAATGTAGTTTTTATACTGCACATGGCCAATAAATGAATCTGAATCTGAGATCCAGGACTGAGGCTGTAGATCCAGGACTGAGGCTGTAGACCCAGGACTGAGGCTGTAGACCCAGGACTGAGGCTGTAGATCCAGGACCGAGGCTGTAGAGCCAGGACTGAGGCTGTAGAGCCAGGACTGAGGCTGTAGACCCAGGACTGAGGCTGTAGATCCAGGACCGAGGCTGTAGACCCAGGACTGAGGCTGTAGACCCAGGACTGAGGCTGTAGATCCAGGACTGAGGCTGTAGACCCAGGACTGAGGCTGTAGACCCAGGACTGAGGCTGTAGATCCAGGACTGAGGCTGTAGACCCAGGACTGAGGCTGTAGATCCAGGACTGAGGCTGTAGACCCAGGACCGAGGCTGTAGACCCAGGACTGAGGCTGTAGATCCAGGACTGAGGCTGTAGACCTGCAGGACCGAGGCTGTAGACCCAGGACTGAGGCTGTAGACCCAGGACTGAGGCTGTAGACCCAGGACAGAAGAGAGTCCCAGGCGGGGAGGTGTGTGTGACAGTTACTTTACGCACAGATTTTAAACAAAATAAACAAAAAATGTCTAGGAAATAATAATCACAAAGATAACGGACATCTGTGTGTATTTATATCTTCTTCATGGTTTTCACAAACATTTGAAATAGTAATGAATAACAGGCAGCAGAGTATAGAAGAAAAATAATTAAAAACAAGCCTCATCCATCACTGTCAGCGTCGCGCGCTGAGAGAGAGAGAGCATGCGCAGAAGCGACACGCACACACACACACGCGCGCACACACACGTGCACACACACAGAGAGAGGGAGAGAGAAATACAAATATACTGTTAATGTAAAGGCTGCAGGATTTTAAAATGGTGAAATAGTGAACAGGTGTTGAAGCGGAGGGCCGCAGTGAGACGCGGCCTCCAACTTTTCCAACGGAGTCAGATTAGTTTCATAATCTTAGATTTGTTTATTATAAATGTCTAATGTCCAATTGTTTGGTGCAATGATCCTACGGTGACTAATGACATCGCTCCAGCCCGTGTGTGTGTGTGTGTGTGCGTGTGTGTGGTGTGCGCTTGTGTGTCTATTAGCGTGTGTATAAGTGTGTGTGCGTGTGCGTTTGTCTATTTGCGTGTGTGTGTGTGTGTGTGTGCGTTTGTCTATTTGCGTGTGTGTGTGTGTGTGTGTGTGTGTGTGGATTCAGCGCGCGGAGCAGGGCCTGATCCACGGCACGCGCCACAAACGCCTTGTGAAGGCTGCCGGAAATATGCACGGAGGGTTGGTGAAATATGGGTCATCTGTGTGTGTTTGTGTGTGCGTGTGTGTGTGTGTGTTTGTGTGTGCGTGTGTGTGTGTGTGTGCGTGTCTGTGTGTGTGCGTGTGTCTGTGTTTGTGTGCGTGTGTGTACGTGTGTGTGCGTGTGTCTGTGTGTGTGTGCGTGTGTGTACGTGTGTCTGTGTGTGTGTGCGTGTGTGTACGTGTGTCTGTGTGTGTGTGTTGCTCTAGTAGTCGCACCTAAAGCCTAACAGTAATAATTATAAAACATAATAATCATAATAATATCAACACGATCTTTAATCATCATTTTCAGCTTCTTGTTGCAACATTCTCGAGACATTATTGGAAAGCGCTTTCAAAATGTAAATTATGTTTTATTTCAAACAAACAAAAATCCATCTTCCTCTCTCTCAGCGGCAAAGAGCGGACCCCGCAGCCTCAGCCAATCAGCTGCAGCCCAACGCGTCAAACAGTGACTCCAGAGGTTTGAAGACAGTATAGTTTTATCTGATTCGTTCACATAATTGTAATTTACCATCTTTTTTATATGAAAAGTATTCCAGCTTTAAAGCTCTAGTCACTATGGCAACAGACCATATTTCACATTATAGGTGACACAGTGGCTGAGTGGTTAGCATTCTCACTTCTCAGCAAAAACAGGAGCTTTCTGAGTGGAGTTTGCATGTTCTCCTTGTGTTTGCATGGGCTTTGGTTTCCCCTACACCACTACAATAGGTCCAAGTCTTCTGGAGATGGGCGATTAGGAGGGTCTAAGGGTGATGATGTGGGAGATTTAAAAACATGTAGTAACATTTGTGGACAGTGGTCGTCCCGCTCCATGGACCAATGGCTCCTGTGGTTGTTATTGTTGCATTTCCTGAGTTCGATCTGTTTGATTCTCTGATCTGTTAGGAATAGGGTTTGAAAAATCTTCCAAAACGACGGCTGTGGTGTCATAATAATTTATTCTTTAGAAGTGTTTTTTATTCTTATTTTTATTATCTCTTTCTGACTGTTGCACTGAGCCAAAGCAATTTCCAAGTCTGTGACCTCCTGTTACTTACGTGGCAATAAAAATGATTCTGATTCTGATTCTGATTCTGATAATCTCAATCTAAAACAAATACATTGAATTGGATTTAGCTGTATGACGTCATGACACATATATCCCGCAGACGTCAGCTCCTGCAGCCGTCAGATCACACACAAATGGATTTCAAAGACAAACAATGAAAGAATAAATGTCAACAACCACAGAGAAACAGAGAGTGTGCGGCTGCAGCGGCTGCAGCGGTCGGGTGAAGGGGCAGTGGGCTGTGTTCTAACGCTCATCATCCTCATCATGTCAGTGTCAGCTCTGACCTCAAATCTACTGAGACTGAGACCGGCACAGACCACAGACCTCTGCAGGGGCTGGTCTCTGGACCGGATCCACGTTTAACACCAGGAAACTCCCAGAAGCAGTAAATTTTACTGCTTGTAATTACTCAGCAAAGAGTAGGTTTTCATAACCCTGTGACTGTCTCTAAATGTAGTTTATCCATCCATCCATCCATTTTCTACCCTTTAATCCATTTCTGGGCCAGGGGGGTGGCAGTCAGAGATGCCACCCAAGTCTCATAGCACCAGCCCCTCACTGACCCTCTGCAGGTGGTGAGTCCACAGGAGGACGGCTGCTCTCTGAGTGTGAGCATAGCCTTGATCTTTCAGTGGGGGCTTTGGGCAAAGTGGGGTTAAGTGTCTTGCCCAAGGACACAACGACAGCAGTCATCAGTGGGAGTCGGTGGAGAAGGTGCAGAGGTGGGAATTGAACCCACAACCTTCTGGCCTTAAGGCCAATGCTCTACCAACTGAGCTACTATCGCCCTTCAAATGTAGTTTATTTATATTTTTATTTACATTTAGTAGAGAGAGAGCAGAGAGAGAGACCAGGGAGAGAGACCAGAGAGGCACCAGAGAGAGACCAGAGACAGAGGGCAGAGAGAGACCATAGGGAGACCAGAGAGAGACCAGAGAGAAACCAGAGAGAAACCAGAGAGAGAGACCAGAGGGAGACCAGAGAGAAACCAGAGAGAGACCAGAGAGAGACCAGAGAGAGAGACCAGGGAGAGAGACCAGAGAGAGACCAGAGACAGAGGGCAGAGAGAGACCATAGGGAGACCAGAGAGAAACCAGAGAGAGAGACCAGAGAGAGAGACTGGAGAGAGAGAACAGAGAGAATGACCAGAGAGAGACCAGGGAGAGAGACCAGAGAGAGACCAGAGAGAGAGCACAGAGAGAGAGACCAGAGAGAGAGACCAGAGAGAGACCAGAGAGAGACCAGAGAGAGAGAGAGACCAGAGAGAGACCAGAGAGAGAGACCAGAGAGAGAGAACAGGGAGAGACCAATCCCTGTGCTTCTCAGATTGGTTTATTTGGCACTCACACGTCATGAAAAATAATTCCACAAACTCTGCTCGTTCCTAAATGAGCGACAGACTCCGAGTCCAGCTCTGGTTCTGAAATTGCTGATGAAATAGAAAAGCCGCAGCGGTCGTTCCTCATGTACCTATAGGTGCCTCCATAGAAGCACAGGGACAGTCCACAGGGACAGTCCACATCTACAGAGACAGGTGTCAGAGGAGGTCTCTCTCTCTGAGGTCTGTGACGGCAGCTGTCAGCCTGATGTGGACCCAGGAGCCGGACACACCACTGCAGCATCACAGACGCCATTTTGGAACGATAGAGCTCTGCAGAGTCTCGCACACGCCACGTTCATGTTTACATTTACAGATCTACAGAGATATCCACTGCTGCACGACTAAAAGTAACGGAAAACAAACATTGCTCAAATTTGGCCAAATGTGTCTTAATCTGAGCACATTTTGTTTCACAGTTTTTGAAATAAGACTAAATGGCTTTTGAGGGAATACCTAAACATTACACAGATGAAGAAGAAACAAGATAGAGCAGCTCTAAACTAGGACTAGTGTGAACTGTGGGACTAAACCAGGTCAAAAAATAACTTCATTAGGCCTAAACAGGACTAAACCAGGTGTAAACTAGGTCTTAAACTGAGACTTAAACAGGTCTAAAACTAGACCTAAACCAGGACTGAACTACACAATGGAGAAATGTTGCCGCACTGTAGAAACAAGGAACACACAAAACTCGATCTCTGAATGAAAAAGAAAGAAGAAGAAATGGTGAAAAACATTGTTGGTCCTGTGGTTTCAGTTATGGATGAAATGTGTCATAATAATAATAATAATAATAATAATAATAATAAGTATTGTATATGTGTTCATGTGAATAAACTTGCTTTGGGAAGATAGGTCTGAGCTGAATGTGTGCGGGGGGAAACACTGCACAAAGTGAGAGTAAGTTTTGGCATGAGCTCCGGTTATAGTGTGTGTGTGTGTGTGTGTGTGTGTGTATAGTGTGTGTGTGTGTGTGTGTATAGTGTGTGTGTGTGTGTGTGTGTGTGTGTGTGTGTGTATAGTGTGTATAGTGTGTTTGGTGTGTGTGTATAGTGTGTGTGTGTGTATAGTGTGTGTGTGTTTATAGTGTGTGTGTGTGTATAGTGTGTGTGTGTGTGTGTGTATAGTGTGTATAGTGTGTTTGGTGTGTGTGTATAGTGTGTGTGTGTGTATAGTGTGTGTGTGTTTATAGTGTGTGTGTGTGTATAGTGTGTGTTTGGTGTGTGTGTGTGTGTGTCTATAGTGTGTGTGTGTGTGTTTATAGTGTGTGTGTGTGTGTGTGTGTGTGTGTTTTTTGTAGGACAACGCCAAATTGCATCAGTGTAAAGATGTTGTCCGTTGCTGTAGTTTGTCAGCTCACTGCAGCCAGAGCTGAGGGACCAGACCAGACACACACACAGAGACACACACACAGAGACACACACACAGAGACAGACAAACAGACACACACAGACACACACAGACACACACACACACACAGAGACACACACAGACACACACACAGACACACACACACAGACACACACACACAGAGACAGACAAACAGACACACACTCACATCCATCCAAACTAAACAGCACCCGGAGGAAACCTACACAGACACGAGAAGAACATGCAAACTCTGGAGGTGGAATCGAACCCAGGACCTTCTCGCTCGGACAGACACGTTATTCCTGTGTTTGTTCAGTTTGAGGTCCTCTGCGTCCTGCGGTGGAGAGGGAGAGTTTGAGAACAGAATAAGAAACGATTCAAACAAGTTCAAAACAATAATATTAAAGTCTCAGCGTTAAACAAAAAGCTGCTGTGACGACGGTCGTGAGTCGTGTTGAAGACTATCGTCCAAACTAAGTGTAACAAGTCTCAATCGAAAGTAATCAAAAGGCACATGAAGCCGCGTCAGGAGTGATGAATGAGCGTGGCGAGCTCGGCCTCATCCATCACGCGCCCGCCGCCGCCTCCAGCCCCTGACAGGAACGGTCAAATAACGTTTAGCACACGGCAACCCTGTGTTTGGTGGAGATTATTACTGTCACAGCTGTAATGGATTAGCTTGGACCTGAGCACATCCAGCCAATCAGAGCGAGGCGCTGCACATTAGCATCGCTATCAGAGGTCGGCCGGGCGGCGGCGGCGGCTGATTGACAGATGGGTGGCTGCCCGGCCGACAGCGAGCCGCGCTCAGGCCAAACAGCCAGCAGCCAATTATGTAGCACACACAGGGCCATTCATCATTCTGTTAGACACCTGTCCCACGCACCGGGAGGGGCCACAGGGAGGGGCCACAGGGAGGGGAGGGGCCACAGGGGCCACAGGGAGGGGAGGGGCCTCAGCTCTGGCGCTCATCACACTGGACTGGAGCAGGTTCACTGTGCACTGGATCAGCACTGATTCCAGACCTGCCCCACACACACACACACACACACACACCAGACTGTATCTGTGCTCCCACCTGGTGCACACACACACACACCTGCACCACACAAACACACACTACAGACGCACACACTCACTCACACAGACACACACAAAAACAGAGCCATTTTGTTCCTCGGCTGCAGCAGGTCTGAGATGATCCAAGACCCTCCACATCGGTCTCTGTCTCTTATGGACCAATGGCTTTGTGTGTTTTTTATTATCGCTTTTTTTGCGTTTGATTCTCTGATCGGTTTGAAAAGTCCTCTGAGATAACCGATGTTTAGGGCTATACACAAATACATTGAATTGAATAACAAGACGTGAAGTTAAATATTGCTACTTTCAGACCCTTTCAGACTCATCTTCAAAGAACTAGACTTTTTGACACCACATTCTTTTGGCAGAGTTCTCTCTCTCTCAGGGACACGCTCCATCCCTGCTTCGTCTGTGGCGTCTGAAAACGTCTTCACGCTCCGGTGTTGTTTCCACGGAGACGCTGCGACAGTAAAATGTTAGCGTTTTTATAGTGTCTTGACAACGGTGTTTCAGGTGAAAACGTTGAGAAACAGCCTCCAGAGTGGAACAGAACGAAGAATAAGGTGTGAATTCTCTGATGACCTCAGCACTTCCCCCACGTACGTTTGGACGCAGTAGAACGTAAACAACAATGGCGGCGGGTCGGCTAATGCTACGTGTGCTTCGCTAACGGAGGAGGATTCTACTTTGTCCAAACTAAACCACAGCTGTAGTTTCACTTTCCATTTCCACTGCTGCTGTTAAAGAATGATGTTGGTTCTTTCCCGTCTTTGGCCTGAGGAGGATGTTGAGGAAGTGGTTCTACTGCTGGGGGTCGCTGCCGTGTTATTAAGTTCCACTGCCCCCTACTGGCCGGGTGTAGACACTGAGCACTTTGAATAAGGAGCCTGGTTATTTTTGCAAATTGCGTCTCCGTCTAAACGGACAAAGTGTGTTCTCTGGATGTTTGCAGATGTGTGTGTGTGATGCAGATGTGTGTGCTGCAAATTTGTGTGTGTGTGTGCACATGTATGTATGCTGCATGTGTGTCTGTGAGTGTGTGTGT